GAAGCTACTCACACGCCAAATACGAGTACAGAATTTACGTCAATAAAATCAAATACAACTTATTTGGATGAAAGTAAGCAGTAAGTGATCAGCAAATGTGACAAAAAAATGTTACAATTTATATTGTCTTTAATGAGTATTCTTTCTATATTTTAGGAAAGCAGAAATAAAGAAAGAAGGAGATTATTGGAAATCTCAATTTCCTCAACAATTATCTAGCGAATCACATTCTTTACAGGATTATAGACCTACATATTCTCACGATTATAAAAAAAATGACGAACGACAGCACGATATTATAATAAATACTTCAGTATCATTAACTTCATCTAACGAATCTTTTGATACTTCTCCAACACCACCACAATTTAACAAAAGGCGACAAGACTCGTTTGAATCTTCGCGAGAAGGAATGGCTTCTGCTACATATCCATTATATACTTCACCTTATTTTCAATACCCAACAAATAATTCTCTCTCGCAACATGGGATTTATAGTTCACGAGCATCAGATTATTCATCCTCACAATCAATTTGTTCACCTCATATTATAAATACAAGCTCAGTTGGTCGGAATTTAAATGATGATGAAATGAATGTTCAAAAAGCAATTAAAATAGAATCTATTGAGGAACAACTATTAATGCAGTGGACTGGCTCTTTAGTTAAAGGCCAGTCTGCTCAATATGTTGGGCGAGTTGTGGTTAGACCTTTGAAAGAAAGATGCGATAGCATTGATTATATGTAAGATATTTACTCTATATTCGGCCCCTAATGTTCGCCTGTGAACATTTCTGATGATATTTTTATGGTGACCTAATGCCATGAAAATTTCAAAAATTAATTCCAGGGCGTTACGTCATCAATCAAAATTTTAATCAGAAATGTTATGGGCGTAGGAACCATGAGATATTCAACGATGTGTCATGAACGTCATGTATTACCATGGCTTCGACGTGCTAATCCATGATATTCACAGCAGCCCATGGAATATCTATCTCATGTTTAGTGCCTTTTAATTAATAAATTTATTAATTTCGTAGAAATACTATAATGAATCAACATAAATTATGGATGCGAAATGTGCTACCACAACCGTATGCAGAGAGATTAGTAGATCCCAAAGATTCAATTAAATATCCAATCTTTTTAATGGATTTTATTGATGACGGAAATGATAACACACGGAAAACAATAGAAACTGATCTTTTTGGGATGAAATGGAATGAAATTGTAAATCTTTTTTTATCATAGTTATTTATGCAATATATTATTATTCTGATAAGTCATTTATTTTATAGGTAGGTGTTATCTGGCTTAATGACGCCTCGAATTTATGTTGGCTAGTTTTCCCAAACTCTCAACGAACATCAACCCAACTAAGAATTGTGCCACGCCCAGTAGAAAAATTTATAATCATTCCAAAAACTATATACATAGATGAAAATACGCCATTTGGCTATCTTGATAGTCTTAAGCAATCTGATTCACAAACGGTGGCCATTACTCAAGATCCTATAATTCAAGAACGGCTTACAGATGATTTATATTACGCAACTCAAGTATCAATACTATCAAATAGCTATTATGCTTTACCAGAATTATGTAGGAATAATCCACGTTTTGGTGTGTTTGGTCCAAGAGAAAATTTTGAAGTTAGAGAAGTTATTGAAGCTGTTAAATTTTTTGGTGGAGCACATGATCAAGACTTTGAAAGCCCAGATTTGAGTCTTATATTAGTATGTTTAATATCTTGGCTATTTTTGCCATATATATTTATTTCATCTCTGTGCTAATTAATACTTAAAATTATAGATTCACGTTAATTACTTGGACCGAGTCAACTCCATACCGCGATTAATTGATCTTAAGTATAAACAGGATTGTAAATTTCATATATTCGGATGTGATTTATACTCACCTGATCCTGTTAATCTTGTTGAATGTTTTCCTTCTGGTATGTATAATTTGGATTTATGATATTCTATTGGGAATATGCAAGTCATGAAATGGATTTAGAGCATATGGATCTTTTAAAGTGTTAATGTGGTTTATTTGACTAACATTATATTGTAATTTTTTTTTTTTAGGCGGAATTGTTACAATAACACCACAAGTTTTTCTGTCAGGACATTATAGTG